AAAGAAGACGACGCCGCCTGCCACGGGCAACGTGGCTAAGAAGACGCCGCTCCCCACGGGCAAGAAGACGGACGGCGCGGCTGGGAAGGACAAGCAGCGCAAGTGGGCGAAGCCGAGGTGGGAGATGCAGACCACACGCAACTTGGCGAGCGGGGTTGAACCTCCCACCGATGAGGCGTCGGGCGCGCGCGGCGATTCCCAGCAGCCCCGCTGGGGTCGCAGTTTGCGCGCCCGCCGCCTTTCAGGCGACTGTTCATCGTTGCTCCGCCCCCCAGGTGCAGTTCCGCAGCGGCAGGGTCGGCGTCCCTGGCAGCAACGTCAGCCTGAAGTACATCGCGGGCGATGAGGCCGACAAGGCCAGATTCTCACCGACGCCCTTCTCGACGCCCTCCTCCGCGCTCTCTTCATTTTCGCCCCTGCCTCGACGCCCCCTCCGCCCCCTGCTGCCTCGTTGCGCCCGATCGCTCCGAGGCCAGGGCCATCGCGGAGGCGGAGGAGCTGGTCAAGAAGGAGCTCGCCGCCAGGGCGCGCGGCGAGTAATTCGCGCTACGACTCTTCAACTCTCCAGGCCAACGGGGCGGCCTCGGGATAACAAAAAGGTCGTGGCGGATATGCCGCCTCGTGGCGGATATGCCGCCTTGTAGCGCAGCCTTCTCGCCTTCCAACTCGTGGCGGACATGCCGCCCCCGCCCCACCCCTTTGCGCTCCTCCGCCCTTCAGGCGGACATGCCGCCGCCCCCCTCCCCTAATCGGCCCACTCCGCGCCCCCGCGCCACGTCCCTGCGCCCCCCTCTCCGCTGTCAGGCACTGGATCCCACGCCAACTAACGTCGGGGAGACGCCCACTGCTCGAACGGCGAAGGCGTTCACCCAGAATGGCATGGGCGCGCGCGAAGGCACCGACGTTGCCACCGCCCGTTCAACGACGAAAACAAGTGAACCAAGACCTGCACATTCAAAGGGACACCAGTTCACTTATATTTCTGGTTCCCAATGCCACCCTCACTCTGCCCCCTCCCCCGAGACCCCGTCGCAAGAACCAGCGGGGCCCTTCTGAGAGGCCCCCGAGGGCTCGAGGAGCTCCAAGACTTCAATGGGTCCATGGGCAACCCCCTCCCCCTCCTCCCGAAGTCTCGCTTCCGCGTCCGATTCCATTTCGGTTCAAGCCCGCGGCCCGCGGGTGCCCGCGAGCCCGCGCGGGGTTGGCCCCCCCCTTTCGCGCCGACGCGTGGGCTGGGGCCCGCGCGCCGAGGCTGCGCCGCAGCCACCGCGTCGCGCTCGGCGCCTCGCACTGCGGCCGCGGCCATGGCAGACAGCGGCAGCGCGTTCGACGCGTTGGAGGCAGCTGCATCGCCAAAACAAGTGGCCCCGCGTGCGGTAGCCAGGGACGCGCGCATCGCGCGCGAAACTGGCTGGCCGCTCTCGGTCGAACTGTTTTGGCGATTCGGCGCAGGAGATGTTCGGGCCAGCGATGCAGTTGCTCTCCGACCTTGCGGGCGTGGACAACAACGCAGGGGATCGGTCTTCCTCCGCCAGCGGCAGTCGGCCAGCCAGCGCGCCCACGTTGGCGGCGCAGCCAGCGCGATCGCGCAGCCCGCGCCACCCGCGGGCACCGTCGACGCCGCCGCGCAGGCGGGGGCCGACGTCACCGCCGCGGGACCCGCGGCAGCGGCCTTTCCCGCCCTCGGCTCTCGTGAAGGAGCTCGCGTCGCACATGCGGGGCGCGACGCCTGTGGTGGAAGAGCCCCCCGAGGCGGTGGAGGCGCATCCCAGCGCGGTGGAGGCGTTCAGGGCGCAGCTGCGAGCCTGGCTGAGCGACCCCGTTGGGAATCCCATCGACTGGCGGTCGGAGACCGTGCTCGCCGTGCTCAAGGAGTACCAGATGAAGTACGACTACAAGAAGTTCCGCGACCGCGGCCCGCCTGGCCCCGCCATGGGCGGGCCGCAGACGTGGCAGGGCCAGGCGTGGCGCGCCAATGCGAAGCGCTGGGGGAACCGAGGTGGCGCAAAGCGCGAGATGTACGCGAAGCTGCACGGCAACAAGGCAGCGCCGCGGGTGCGCGAGGCGCACGTCCCCAAGCCTCAGCTGATGCATCGGGAGCCCATGGCGCCGAACTTGCCCAAGACGATGCCTCAGCAGGCGCCGTGGAGGACTGGCAATATGAACCCTCCAGTTCCGCCTCCGCCGCCGAAGACCATGGGGCCGCCGCCGCCGAAGACCAGGCAGCCGCCAGCAGGGAAGCCCAGCATGGTGCAGCCGAGGGCAGGGCGTCGGCTGCAGCCGACAAGCAAGATGGCACCACCGCCAGCGAAGCCGCGCCCGCCCGCCCGCGGAGATGTCTTCTTGTAGGGTGATCGCGTGGACCTGCAAGCGGGCTGGGGTGCATAGCTTCCGTAATTCGAGCGCGGATAGTTGCAGCTATCCGCGCTGACGCGTCATGACGCGCCGCCTCTCCCCGCCTCGTCTCATCTCATCTCTCCTCCCCTCTCTTCGTTGCCGATCTATCTCATTGGCGGACGCGCCGCCTCCCCCCGCCTGGCGGACAACCGCCGTTCAGATACGAGCATCGGCGCATCGGGTTTGTTCTATGCGGTTGGAAAAAAACACCAGTCCTTCCCTGAGCCACCCATTGGCGGCTAAACCGCCCTGAAGCCTCCATTGGCGGCCACGCCGCCCATTGGCGGCTAAACCGCCCATTGGCGGCCACGCCGCCCTGAGCCCTCCATTGGCGGCTAAACCGCCGCCGCCGCCTGCTGGCATCCCGAAATGTGCGATGCCACCGCGCCTCTTACACATGTATGTTTTTGTTGTTGGGACGCTGTATCGGCTCGAATCTAGGCGCGCACAGGCTCGCGCCCCACGCCGCCCCTGCGCTAGCCGTGCACTTCTCGCCCTGCCGCCATGGCAGGCCAGCAGGGCGAGAAGACCGTCATGTTCGGCTTCAAGTGCCCACAGAGCAGCAGCTGCAAAAGGGGCGGCAAGTGGTTCCAGGGAGAGACAGTGGAGGAGGCCAGGAACAAGCTGGTGAACCACCTTCACGTGTCGCCGTACCACAGCTTGAGCGAGGACGAAGCGGAGGTAGCTGCTATCGCACTCGAGGCCGACTCGTGGGAAGTCGACCTCGCGGAGTGGCGCCAATGGGAGGAGGAGAAGGCCAACTGGGGCTCCGTCAAAAGGCGCAAGGGGGCGCCGAAGGTCGAGCTGGCGCCAATCCCTCCACAATCCCGCGTGGAGCGCTCGCACCAGCTGCAGGACGCGTTCTCGGGGGGCAGCGGATCGTCAGGCGCAGCTTCGTCAGCCACGGCGGGCATGAGGATGTCCACGGCGTTGGCCAGCCAGATGTCGCCCGATAGCATCGTGGTGCTCAACGGCACCCAGTGCCAGGCTGTGCTCGACTCGTTGCGCCGCGCGCGTACTGCGACGCAGATGTGCGCCCAGATAGCGGAGCGCGCGGTGAACGCTTTCCGCCAAGAGGAGCAATGCATCGCCGAGTGCGAGGACGTGCTCGCGAGCTGGCTGGTGCGCAACGCGACCTCGTAGGTGCAGGTGCACGGCTGGCAGCACTGATGTCGCCTCAGCATCAGTAGCCTCATTCGCGCAGGCGGCGCGACGCGTCGGCCCTACACGCCCCCCTCCCACTCCTCCAACGCAATTTCAATCCACACCCCTGTGTCAGAACAAATTAGGACACCCCCACACACTCCATCCGCACTCAATTCGTGAAGGCCGCCACGCCGAGGTGAATTTTGGCCATGCAGGCGGCCGAGTAGCCGTCCCCCAATGCAAGGCGATATGGGGGCGAGTGGACGAGCGGAGCGGGAGGAAGGTGAGGGAACTTCGGCGGATAAGACAGGTGGGCGGTTGGATGGGATTTGGCAAAAGGGCTGGGTGGAGAAAACTGCATCCGCATAAGAATGAGTGCGGCTATTTTCTGGATGTGCTGCATCGCCATGTCCGCCCACCCCCCCATCGCCTTGCATATGATGACGCTCAGGCAGCGCGCCCCGATTGCGCGCGCTCGCCCGTCTCTTCGCTGCCGCTCAGGCAGCGCGCCTCGCTTCCGCGCTCGCCCGTCTTTTCGCTGCCGCTCAGGCAGCGGTTTGAAGCACGCGGCGCCGTCCGCGGTCGGTAGCGCAGGGCGCCGCTCCGCCCCTGCTGCTCCGCTTAACTAACTCGGCGGACGTGCCGCTACGCCGCCGCCATGCACTGGCAAAAAACGTTGGCTGTTATCATATGTTAGCATATGTTATCACGCGCCTGATAACACCTGATAACACCTGATAACACCTGATAACATGTTATCAGGTGTTATCATGTGTTAGCATGGTGTTATCACACGCCTGATAACATATGATAACATATGATAACATGATGTCAATTTTGTGTGGTTGTCATGTTGCGCGCAATTCATTTCAGTATCCGTATCACCTCGTGCGTCCGCCACGCTTCGAGCGGCTAGTCCGCTGGCGGCCAATCCGCCTCCCTCGCCGCGCCCCTGCACCCTCTCAAGCGGCGAGTCCGCTGGCGGATATGCCGCCCCCTTCATACCTCACTCCACCCCTCCCTCCACCTTTGAAGCGGCTATTCCGCTGGCGGCTATCCCGCCTCACTTACCGCGCGTTTTCTTCGTCATCGCTTCGCGTCCGCAGTTCATCTTGGCATCAGGGCCGCGCGCGACGCGCGGCTTCTCGCGTGCCAAGGCGGTCACGCCGCCATGGCGGGGGCGCCGCCCGCTGAAGATCACCAGCAGCATTCTCTGGCAGTGATGTTCGGAGCAGCCAGGCCGAAAAACAAGGGAGTGATGACCAAGGCGCCCGCAGCGAAGCCCCGTGGGAAAGCTAAGCTATCGGGGACGCAGATGACACTGACTGGACAGCTTGTGCCGCCGCTCGCATTGACCGACGCAGGGCCGCCGAAGGCACGCGGGAAAAGCAAAGGCAAGGGCAAAGGTAAGCACCCCGCAGCGTTGAGGACGGCTCGCAAAGCTGCGTCAGCCGCAGCTCCCGCCGAAGAACTGCCTCCTCAGGGCGCAGCGGCTTTGCCACCAGAGCCGGACGACGCAGCGTCAGAGGCGGCATCGGGCTCCGAGGAGCGCGGCGACGAGATTGGTTCCGAGCTCGGCGTCAAACAGGATGAGCTTGAGAGTGCCAAGCGCGAGCTTGAGGAGGAAGAGGCTCCACCGCAGGGCGCGGTAGCCAAGGTTGAGAATGAGGAGCGCTCGCCCGAGGCGGCAGCGCCGCAGGCGGAGGAGGAGGAGGCAGCTCAGGACGATCCGCCAGCAGGCGCTCCCCAGGTAGGGGAGTTCGTGGATGTGCATGGCATCGGGCATAGCATCGTGCGTTGCAACCGCTGCTGTCGCACGGCAAAGGAGTGCAACTACAGGATCAGGGCGAAGGGCCAGTCGACTTACCAGTGCGACGCGTGCAACACGAACGGGGTGCGCCTTTCTCGGAGGTTCGGACAGTGGCCGCCAAAGTGTTTCGCCAAAATGAAGAGTGAGTTCAAGCAGCAGTTCTACAAGGATCTGGCAGAAGATCCTGGGCTGTCGAACCTCGATCGCATTGAAGCCTTCGTGGTCAGCTCAATCACTGTCCAACGGATGGAGGAGGAGCGCGTCCGCAAGGGTGGCAAGTACCTTCCGCTGAGGAAGTGGGCGCACGACGGCTTCGACGCGAAAAAGATTGAAGATAATGTGCAGGATAAGAGGTGGAACCCTGATCTCGGGGAGTGGACGTACAGGCCGCAATTGGAGGCGGCCTGGAGCGAGACAGTGGAGGCCGCAGTGCGCAACGAGCTGTACACCGATAAGAGGACGCAGGCGAAGCAGAGCGGCCCGCGGGCAGCGGCCTCGACGGGCGTCGCAGAGCACGGCGGCGACAAGGGCGACAGAAGCGACGAGAGCGACATGTCCAGATCCAGGCGGCGCCGCAGGCGCAGGTCTGACAGCCGCAGGAGGAGGAGGCGCAGCATGAGCAGGCGCGACAGCAGGGGCAGGCGCGACAGCAGGAGCAGACGCCGCGACAGACGTCGCGACACCAACCGCAGCAGGAGCCGCTCGCGCGGCGACCGCGACAGGAGCAAGAGCCGCCGCAAGGGCAGGAGCAAGAGCCGCGGCAAGAGCAAGGACAGGAGCAAGAGCAGGCCGTTTGGGGGTTCAACGCAGGGGTGTCGCCTGGGCTTCGCATTCGCTTTCGGTTTCCGTTCAACTCTTCAGGTTCGGATCGGGTTATTGATTTCGCTCGGCTCGAAGTGTTGTCATTTTCGGACAACCCCGAAGGCTCCGCAGGGATAAGGACGCTGAGAAGGAGCGGAGGCGACAGGAAGCGAGGGAGAAGGCCGAGCAGGCCAAGAAGGAGACGCAGGAGAAAAACCTGGCGCTGAAGTGGATCGGCACCGCAACGAGGCTCGAGACAGAGCTGGACGGGTACCTCGAGCATGAGAAGGCGGACAAGGTGCCGTCATGGGCTGTGAAGAACGCGAAGGCGGCGAGGAAGTCTGTGGCAGTCATGAAGGCGGTGGCGCAGAAGCGCGTGCACAGCGGCGTGGCGTTGACGATCACGCAGGACGAGGCCATCAGCATCCAGAAGGATGCGAGCTCGGCGGCGAGGGCCATCGCGGGGATGCTCAAGGAGGCGCAGAAGCACAGCACCTGAGCGCCCCATGGTGGCCCAGTACATCATGAAGTACGGCCTGAAAAAGGTGGAGAAGGACCCGAATAAGCCGCGGCCGCTGGGCCGCTCGTGAGCAGGGGCGGCAGTTGGGCCGCTCCTGACGAGGTGTGTGATTTCGTATATACAATTGTTATTGTTGGTGAAACAACATTTCCACCGCCACCCCACTCGTTACCACCGCAGCCCTTCGTTTGGCGGGGATGCCGCCTTTCCACTCTCGCAAGCCCTTGGCGGACATGCCGCCTTGCCTTCATTTGGCGGAGATGCCGCCTTTGCTGCTCATCGCGCTCCGATGCCTCACTTGGCGAGGCGAAGCGCTTGCCTAACTCCCTCCTGCTCGAGCGCGTCCTGCCCGAGACCCTACCGCGCGAGCTGTGGCTCGCGAAGGCCAGCGACACCGTTGGGAATCCCATCGATTGGCGGTCGGAGACGAAGCAGAGGCGAAGCAGCTCCTTGGCAGGGGCGGCAGTTGGGCCGCTCATGACGAGGTGTGTGATTTCGTACAATTGTTATTATTGTTGAAAAAAAAACATTTCTTCGTTGCCATCGCCACCCCACTCGTTACCACCGCAGCCCTTCGTTTGGCGGGGATGCCGCCTTTCCACTCTCGCAAGCCCTTGGCGGACATGCCGCCTTGCCTTCATTTGGCGGAGATGCCGCCTTTGCTGCCCACCGCGCTCGCACCGTTCTCTCGCGTTTCCCAATGACATGATCTGCCACCGTCCCACCCCTCATCCGTAGTCTTTGTGGCTCAAGTGGAGCCGCTCGAGGTCGTGCCCCTTCGCGGTCTTGCGCCGCCATGGCGAGCATCGCGGACAAGTACGACGTCGATGACTTCGAGCTCATCACGGGTGGCAGTGCGTGGAGCTGGGCGACCATCGTGGTGCGCTTCATCGAGTGGCGCAATCGTTGCCGCCATGCACGCGCCGTTGGCATCAAGGGCCAGATGCTCATCGACAAGGCGCGGCGCATGATGGAGGAGGCGCGCCGCACCGAGGAGCGCGGCAAGATGCTGTGCCAGATGTCGAAGCAGATGGTGCAGGACATCCCAGGCGGCATTCGGTTCTTCTGCCGCCAGCCGCACCAGGAGAGCTGAGCGGCGATCGGCTGGGCCGATAGAGGAGGATACGGAGGAAGAGGAGGCAGGATGAGGAGAGGAGGAGGAGGTGGATGAGGAGTTGGAGGCAGCACGCGCACCCGCACTAAGAGCCGCCAGCCGCCGCCGCGCCCGTCCCGCGCTGCGCCCGTCCCGAGCTCGAGCCGCCAGCCGCGCCCGTCTCCGAGCGCTGGCGGCTTGGAACCCGAGCTTGAAACTCAAGCTCGAAATTGCGTGCGAGAAAAAGAAATCTCCCTTGCAAGTTCCGTTGCTACGCTCACTTCGCGCCTCCGCAATCTCCCCCACCCACCCCCTTCCCCCCTCCCCCCTCCCCCATGCCCCCTCGCCCCCACGCTCTTCGGCGGCTACGCCGCCCCTCCCGACCCTTCAGGCGGCTACACCGCCATGCCCTTCGGCGGCTACTCCGCCCCGCGATCCATTCCCGCCTCCACTTCCGTCTCTCTGGCTGCAATTCGTTTTTCTCAACCGCGCTGGGCCTCGCGCTGCCCCCCGCCCCCGCCCCTCCCGCGCGCGGGCGTCGGCGCAATGGGGAAACGCGCCCTGCAGGTGGACAAGCAGGTGGAGCAGCGGGCTCGACTGCAACAGTGTCTGGCCCTGCGCGGCGTGTCCGCGGCTTTGCTCGAGCGAATCGTGACTGCGCTTGGCCATGGCGACGACGCGGGCGATGCTATAGACGTGAGCGCTCGGGCCATGCAGCGATCGCAGACGGCATCCGTGGCCGATCTCATCAGCGCAGTGCGGCTGCAGCCCAAGATCGGCACGCCTTTCCGATGGAGCGTGGCGCTGCCGCATCGGCTGATGCCGAGGCTCCTGTCGGACTGCCCTCTCTGGAGTTCAATGTTTTGGGAAGCGATGCGCCGTTTCCCTGTGTCGCGCGATCGGCCGTGGAGGCTTTTGCTGTACTACGACGACATTGGCGTGGGCAACGCCTTGAAGATAGATAATCGTCGGAATCAGCTCGCGGTGTATGCGAGTTTCCTCGAGTTCGGATCCTTCTTGCAGAAGGAGGTTGCGTGGCTGCCGATCGGCACCTTGCGCGTCGTCGTGAAGAAGAGCATCGGCGGCTCGGCCGTGGCGCGGGCATTGCTTCGCGCGCTGTTCCTGGGCCCAGAGAGTCTGTCGGAGCACGGTGCGCCAATCGGCGGCGTGCACTTTTTCGCCAAGTTCCACCGCTTGATTGCAGACGAGGCGGCTGGAAAGAGACATTCTGCACCAAGGGCGCTGCAGGTCTGAGACCGTGCTTGCAATGCAAGAACGTTGTGCTGGATCAGGCGGAATGTCTTGCAGACTACGACGACGATGATTACCTCGTGCCTCTCTGGTGCGCTGACTCGTCGCGCTTTGACCCGCTGTCGTCAGACGAGTTTTTGCAGCAATATGATGATTTGGCGTCGCTGCGGGACACGACAACCAGAGCGAACATCGAGAGACTGGAGCCAGGGAGGAAAACATTTCCATCGATCCCCTTCTGATGTCCCCCCCTTCCTTCCCTTCTGATGTTCCGGCCCCCGAAGGAGACGGCAATGGGCATCACTCTGGATGACCGTTCTCTGGTGGCGTGCCAGGCGTTGCGGACGGTGGCGCCGCCGAGCACATACGTGAGGGACCCCATGCATACCATGCTGGCCAGCGGCGGGACCTTGCAGGTCGAAATCTTTGCGCTCCTCAAGGCGGTGAGGGATGTCATCCCCGACGCGTGGGGAACGTGGCGGGATCGCTGCTCGGCGTGGCGGACTGGCAGACGCGGCAGGAAACCGCCAGCGTTTCTGTTCAGCGTGGCTCGGAAGAAAGCGACCTGCAAGGCGTCGCACTTCGTGGGCAAGGCGTCGGATTGCTTGGCCGTGTTCCCTTTGATTCGTCATTGGGTGCACACAGAGCTGCGTCCCAGCGGCATGGCGAACGCTGCGGCGCGGTCGTTCGAGGCGATGGCGAAGATGCTCGAATTGTACATGCAGGGCAAAAGGACATGCGGCCGCAGCTGAAACGCAAACGCTGGCCTGCGCGTTCGAGGATGCACCGCGTCGGCCCGCGCGCATCCTCGAGCGCTTAGGTGGCAGGCGGTTCGGCTACGTCCTGAGGATCGGCGCCGTGCCGAATTTGATAGCTGTCTGGACCAAGGCCGTTTCGATTTCCTTGGCGCTGCACAAAGCCGCGCACGGGCCAGCCCTGATCAAGCCGAAGCATCATTATTTGTGGCACGTCCCCGACCAGCCTGCGGAGGACGGCATCTGGTTGGACGCCTTCGTACTCGAGCGGAAGCACAACCTGCTTCGGTCCAGGTCGCAGGAGATCGACAACCCTGAGAATTTCGAGCGGTCGGCCTTGACGGCGATGCTCGCCTGCTTCCTGGAGGAAGCGAAGGAGGCGCCGCGCTCCCGCGCCAAAGCGTGGCGCACGCCAGAGCTGGACAGTACGTTCGGGCACTCGGGGCGCAACCTTGCATGCCCTTTGTGGAGGAAGATGGGCTGGGAGAGGGGAAGGCGGTTTGCCGCCGAGGCGGCTCGCCGCCAGGAGGAGGAGGAGGAGGAGGAGGAGGAGGGGGAGGAGGAGGAGGAGGAGGAGGAACCCCTCCGCAGGGCTGAAACGTGGACCAGCAGAGAGGCGCCCATCGACGGCCAGATGTACGGCAGCCAGGACAGACGGCGCAACCAACCTTGGTATTTAGGGGTGCACATGCGTGTGCCCCCCCAAAAATCGAGGCGTTGCTGCCCTCAGGATTTTCTCCTGGGCGACGGCGAGGCGTACATCGTGCATTGCTGCGCGCAGGCTGGCGCCGCCAGCTACCTGCTGGTGGAGACCCTGGAATGGGTGCGCGCGCCATGCCCAGGCGCGTCCCTGTGGCGGCCGCGCGGCGACGTCGCCGTGATGCCCGCCGAGCTGATCCCGCCAGCCTGGGCGGCTTATCGGCGACTACAGGACGATGGCTATGTGCTCGCCATCACGTGAAAAAGGAAAAAACGAGCGCATGCGAGAGCGGATATGCCGCTGGCGGATGCGCCGCCCTTCGATAGAGAGGTGCAGGAGGGAGGGGCGGATATGCCGCCGAAGAAGGAAGGCGGGCTCGGGGAGGGAAGGCGGCAGGAGGGAGCGGGGGCGGGCTGGCCGCCGACAACGAGGAGAGGAGAGGGGAGGCGGTGATGGCCGCCGAGGGGAGGCAGTTTGAAGAATAGTTGATCCCCCCCCTCTCCCTCTCCCCCCTTCCCCTCCGCGCCCCGCAGGCGTCCTGAGGGCGGCTCGGCGCGTCGACCTGCGGCGCCCTGTCCTGAAAAACTGTTGTGTTGTAGTTGTTAAAACGTTTTTTGTGGTTTTTTCCCGAAACATAGCAATATCAAGAACAAACATGCAAAACATAGAAAGTTATGCAAATTTCGGGTTAACCGAATCGGACAGCCCACATCGACTTAGCTGACTTAGCTACTAAGTTGGGTATGTTGAGGTGTATGTATCGATATATCTTGGCAGTGGTACCCGATAGCTCAGTTGATAAGATGGATGGTTCTGTGAGTAGTATGTATGGTATGTTGTTGAATATACTTATCTAACAAAACGTTAAGTAGATGAATGCGAAGTTCGATATTTTATATATGTTGAATATGTGAGGTCAACTAGCATGAACCTACATACATCTTCGTTGAAACGATTTCATCGGATATACAACGCTCTTACCGCACTTACACCCACCCGACGATCAAAGTACACCCTGGCACCCGGGCACCCAGGCACCCAGCCGGGCACGGGGAAGATCCAGACGAAGATGTGGGTGAAGGAGGAGGAGGAGGAGGAGGAGGAGGAGGAAGAGGAGGAGGAGGAGGAAAACGGACAGACATAATAGCCTCCGCGGATGTCTGGAGCGTCTGGGGGGC